CCTCAGCCTCAGCCTCAGCCTGCTTCAGCCTCAGCCTCAGTCTGCCTTCAGCCTCGGCCTCAGCCTCAGCCTGCCTCAGCCTCAGCCTGCATCAGCCTCAGCCTCAGCCTCAGCCTGCCTCAGCATCAGCCTGCCTCAGCCTCAGCCTCAGCCTGCCTCAGCCTCAGCCTCAGCCTCGGCCTGCTTCAGCCTCAGCCTCAATCTGCCTTCAGCCTCGGCTTCAGTCTCAGCCTGCCTCAGCCTCAGCCTGCATCAGCCTCAGCCTCAGCCTCAGCCTGCCTCAGCCTCAGCCTGCATCAGCCTCAGCCTGCTTCAGCCTCAGCCTCAGCCTGCATCAGCCTCAGCCTGAGTCTGCCTTCAGCTTCGGCCTCAGCCTCAGCCTGCCTCAGCCTGCCTCAGCCTCAGCATCAGCCTGCCTCAGCATTCAAAATGTGGCCAGGGAATGGAATTCTGGGAACTCGAAGAACACGAAGTGGCCTACAGTTTGCTCCGGGCATTCAAAATCATACCCAGGAATGGAGTTCTGGGAAGTCGAAGACCACGAAGTGGCCTACAGTTGGCTCCGGGCATCCAAAATGTGGCCCGGGAATGGAGTTCTGGGAACTCGAAGACCACGAAGTGGCCTACAGTTGGCTCCGGGCATCCAAAATGTGGCCCGGGAATGGAGTTCTGGGAACTCGAAGAGCACGAAGTGGCCTACAGTTGGCTCCGGGCATCCAAAATGTGGCCCGGGAATGGAGTTCTGGGAACTCGAAGAGCACGAAGTGTGTGACTGTTGCATCCGGCCCTCCAGAATGTGGCCCGGGAATGGCGTTCTGGGATCTCGAAGAGCACGAAGTGTGTGACTGTTGCATCCGGTTATTCAGAATGAGCCTGGGAATGGAGTTCTGGGAACTCGAAGAGCACGAAGTGTGTGACTGTTGGTGAAAAACGAGCGGGGCCCCCTGCCGCCCGGCAACTCCCAACACCTGCCCGGACCCCCCTGTGGAGTGATCTGTGAGCTCTTTTGAGTCCATTAGAAACCTATCAGTCTTCGCTGTTAGGTAAAAAACGAAGCACCTCCCCTCATTCTTTCTCTTCCTCGGAAGCGAACGTCGCCACTGGGGCCTTCGGTGGCGCTCCCTATGGGGCCTTGAAGCGTTGTGCTGGACGGGGGAGATGCATGCGAACCCCGCCTCTGAGGCCTTCGGTGGAGCTCCTTGGAAACCCACAAAACGTTGCACTGGGTGGCCACTGGGGCCTTGGGCGGAGCTCCCTATGGGGCCACGAACCGTATGAGGAGTGTGCCAAAATCAGGAAGTGATGGCAAAAGGGAGGAGGGGGAGGGGGAGGAAAAGATGGGAGGAGGAGGAGGAAGAGGAGGAGGAGGACGCGGGGCACAGCCTCTTCAAAACGACGACCCAATACCACAGGATGGTTGGGAAACAACGAATTATCCAGGCGAAGGACCCAACCATACGCAAGTATGAGAACCGGGAGGCAGGTGGGACGAAACAAAGGGAATTCCCAATGGGGCCACGCACCGTATGACGGGTGCGCCAAAATGGGGCGGGGCCGCCATGCGAACCCTGCCACCGGGGCCTTCGGTGGAACTCCCTATGGGGCCACGAACCGTGTGACGGGTGCGCCAAAATGGAGCGGGGCCGCCATGCGAACCCTGCCGCTGGGGCTTTCGGTGGAGATCCCTGTGGGGCCACGAACCGTGTGAGGGATGCGCCACAATGGCGCGGGGCCGCCATGCGAACCCTGCCACTGGGGCATTCGGTGGAGCTCCCTATGGGGTCACGAACCGTGTGAGGGGTGCGCCAGAATGCGGGGCCGCCATGCGAACCCTGCCACCGGGGCCTTCGGTGGAGCTCCCTATGAGGCCACGGATCGTGTGAGGGGTGCGCCAAAATGGCGCGGGACCGCCATGCGAACCCTGCCACCGGGGCCTTCGGTGGAGCTTCGTATGGGGCCACGAACCGTGTGAGGGGTGCGCCAAAACGCGGTGCCGCCATGCGAACCCTGCCACTGGGGCCTTCGGTGGAGCTCCCTATGGGGTCACGAAGCGCTGTACTGGGTGGGTGAAACGGAGGGAGGAGGGGGAGGAGGGAGGAGGGGGAGGAGGAGGGAGGAAGGAGGGAGGAGGGACGCGGGGACCGTCTCTTCAAAACGAGGACCCAACACTACAGCATGGTTGGGAATAATAGCTTTGACGACCCCCCTCCTTGGCAAACCAATCGCAGCTACGAATAGGAGGGGAGGTAGCTTCCGAAGCCCCCCCGCCTTCGAAAGGGAAGCCCGGGCTAACCCTGGGCTTTTGACCTGACAAGGACCAGCCGCACGCGTACTCGCCAGAGGTTTGAAAAACGCGTTGGCCAACGATGGAGACGCTATTCGACCCACAGCCTCGCTTCGCGAGCGGGATCGTCGTCGTCCGAGTCGCAGGCATCGGGGAAACCGACCAGGCTTTCCCACAAGGCTAAATCAGCCTGGGAAACAGGAGGAGGAGAGTGCTCTCGTCCCGCCCACCCCGCCCCCACAGGGGCTAACCCTGGGCTCCGGAAAAGGTGGGAGGAGGGGTTAGCTTCGAAGCCCTCCCCCCATTGGCACGACAATCTCAGCTGCGAAAAGGGAGAGGGGGGATAGCTTCCGAAGCCCCCCCCCCTTTGAAAGGTGAGCCCGGGCTGGCCTTGGGATCCAGAAAAGGAAGGGGGGATAACTTTGAAGCCCCCTCCTTGGCACGGCAATCTTAGCTGCGAAAAGGGGGAGGGGGGGAGCTTCCGAAGCCCCCCCCCTTTGAAAGGGAAGCCCGGGCTGACCTTTGGCCCTGGAAAGGGGGTTGGGGGTAGCTTCCAAGCCCCCCCCCCCCTTTAGCTAGGGCCCCCCTGGCTCCGACATGTCAACAAAATGGGGGGAGGGGGGGAGCTTCGGAAGCCCGCCCCCCCCCCTTTCCAAAGGGAGGGGGTGGGTAACTTGAAGCTGGGGCCCCCCTTTTAGCGAGAAGTACGCCGCACGCGCGCTCTTTCAAAGATAACGAGAAGGCGAGGAAGAAATCAGCGACGGAACTACATGAGCTACATCGACACCTTCGAGCAGTGGAAGAGACCGTACAAGAGGAACAAACTAAGCAAACACATGCGTACAATCAAGCACTGCACTACCAAAACAAGCCGAACGAGGAGCTGACGAACGTTACGATCACAACCGATAAGATGGCGGCCCACCACGAATACATCCAGGCCAAAGCGGCGGCTGCACTATAGAGGACTGAGGAGGAATTCGCAACCAACATACGGAGCAACAGCCGCAGCGGGAAGGACTACCTCCCTTGAGATTGGCACGAACACGCCACGGCCATACAGAACAAGCTGAAACATACTCAGCAGAAACTCGCCGAACACGACAACGACCATAATAACCACCAGCATCAGCTACAGCTGATGGAAACGACAGCCATGGAAAGGCAGATGCACTACAGCAAGATGCGATGGGCAGAACAATACGTCTCCGTCATCAAGGCGCAAGGGATCAACGCTTTCAGCGAGAAATCAAACTATGCAATCACTGAAAGCAAATCGACAACTTACTTCGCAACACCCACCTCGAAATGCAGGACCAGGAGAAGCGCACGGAGGCCACCATCCAGAGCGCCCAGGAGGAATACCAACAGAGGGTAACCGACGTCGAAAGGGTGGTGCGAGCCAGACACATAGATCAAGCCCAACAGCAGAGACATCAGATCTGACGCGTAGTCATGGATATGAGCAGCTGCCAGGAGCAAGCGCAACAGCATGCGGCCCAGGCAGACGGGCAAACATAACTGGCACTGCAACGAGCGGCGATCGGCATGGCAGAACAGAGAAAGAAACCCACCAGCACCAGATCCAGGTACACCCGCCAAACGAGGCCACTTGGGGAGGATGGCAAGCCATACGCGAAAGGCGCACCGAGGAGGCGACCCAACTTCTAGGCACGGCAGGCAGCGGCTGAAGCACAGCGGCGTCTAGCGTCTCGACAACGTGGAGACGGTGGACGTCATCGAGAAGACCCTGACCACCGAGATCCCCAGCGACGAGGAGGGGACCAATGGATTCTTGCAACCAGTTGCACCATGGCTAGACAGGATGCATACTGCGCCAGGGCTGACGCAACACACACACACAATCTCCAAGCGACCAAGCAGCACGAGACAGCGACACATGGGGAGCAAACGCATCACTTCCAATACAAGACGACCAACAACAATTTCACCAATCCACTCCGACAAGGTGACGTCGCACTCCGACCGCGACACACGACGCAGATGGAGACGAGCTACCACCAGGAAGTGAAGAGTGCGACACGCCTTTACCACCGACGCCTAACGCATGGACGCCGAGATCGGTAACGGCAAGACAACCCGACCGACCGACAGACCAGCATACGGGACAACCCGAGCGTCGTGCAGGTCTACACCGCATCGCCTAGGGCGAAGAGGGACGACGGCCTCAGCACCACAGAGGTGTCCCCCCAAGCCCGATCGCCGCGCAGGATCTTGATCGGCGCTCCTGGCAAGGGGCGCTTCGCTTCCACCAGTACGCAAACATCGACCCCCACGATCCCAAGTACCATACTCCACCGAAGCAGACTCGGATGCTGCACACAGCGACGCCCCAGCCCCTTGGGGCCTCCCACAGCCGCCGCCGCCGCCGCCGTCGCCGTCGTCGTCGTCGTCGTCGTCGTCGTCGTCGTCGTCGTCGTCGTCGTCGTCGTCGTCGTTGCCGCCGCTGTCGCCGCCGCGGTCTTCGTTTGCATGGTCTTTTTCGTCGTCGTCGCCGTCGTCGTCGTCGTCGTAATCGTCTTCGTAGTTTTCGCCGGTTTCTCCCATCGTTTCGTCTTCGCTTTCGTCGTCGCCGCCGCCGCCGCCGCTGTCGCCGTCGCCGTCGCCGTCGTCGTAGCCACCGCCGCCGCCGTCGTTGTTGCCGTCGTCGCCGCCGTCGCCGCCGCCGCCGCCGCCCGCGCCCCCTCGCCGCGGCCTCGCGCAGCCGCTCGAGCCACGCGCCCGCCCCGCTGAGGTCGCGGGCGCGGGCGTGCGCGGTGACCACCGCGTTGTAGGCCGGGAGCGCGGGCTCGCCGCCGGGCCCGCCCCCGCGGGAGCGGCGGGCCGCGCCGCAGGGCTTGTCGTCGTCGTCGTCGTCGTTTTCGTCGTTTTCGTCGTCGTCGTCGTCGTTTTTGTCGTTGTCGTCGTTTTCGTCGTCGTCGTCGTCGTTCTCGTCGTTTTCGTTGTCGTTTTCGTCGTTCTCGCTGCTGGGCCCCCACCCCCAGGAGCGGCGGGCCGCGCCGCATGGATGCCCTCCGGCTGGCTTTGGACCAGCTTAGACCTCCTGGATCCTTGGTTTTTCTGAAATCTACCCAGGGCATGTTTTCTGTATATATATATATATATATATATATATATATATATATATATATGTGTAAACCAATGTTATTGCTAAAACAAAAAAGTCGGCGTGCCGGGCATCATGTTTGTTAGCGTTTTTCAGGTCCCAACATGACATGCGAAAACAACGACAAGATGGCCTCACGATGGCGCAAGAGGCTTCCAAGGCGCCCCAAGAGACCTCCAAGGGGTCTACCAAGAGGGCCCCCAAAGGCACTACATACTGATGTTCCTTGCGTGTTTGAAGGATTTGGGCGTTCTAGCTTTCCGACGATCCAGGACTGACCAAGAGACCCCCCAAACCACCCAAAAACGGCCCAAGATGCCTCCAAGAAGGCCACAAGACGGCCCTGGAGCGCCCCAAGACGGCCCAAGAGGCGCCCAAGACGGCCCAAGAGGGTCCCCAAAAGGCTCCAAAATGGGCCCAGGGAGGGAACACGAACCGAAAATCCTAGCCTTCTGCCCCAAGGGGCCCCCAGGAGGCCCCAAGAGGCGCCAAGAGGCCCCCAAGAAGCCCCCAAGAGGCCCCCAACAGGCCCGAAAACGGCCCCAGAGAGGCATCAAAACTGCCTCCAAGAAGCCTCCCACGATATTCATACGAACATCCACTAGGCTTACAACCCACAACCCAGGCACGGTGGCGGGACTTGCACAAGGCAGCTGGTTATGTTCGAGTCTCCGAAAGTCTAGGTCCGACGCCCCCGACCCTCCCCCCCGCCACTTGGGGGCCCCAAAACGGTGCGGTGCCGAACTGCGCGGTGATCTCGAAGCACTTGGAAGGCCTCACCGAGCAGTCCGTCATCGCAGGGTTTTGGGACCTCGGAGGCCCCAGCCGCCCGAGACACACTCGCAGAATGACCCAAGCCCCAAATCTAATGGGGAACGATGAACAAGAGGGGGGGCTGGCGCAGAGGTGGACACATCGATCTGGAATCGGCTGTACGTCTCTCATAGATCGGCGATGGCGATAAGCCGCCGACTGCGAATCCGCACGTTCCTGGGCGGGGTGGGTAATCGGGCCCCAATCGGCGATCAACGGGCGATTGGGGGCCGATGCATCCCCCCCTTTGAGCCTCCCAGCCTAACGCTGCCCCTGAGAATCCCGACTGACTCACCCGACGGGGTGGCCACCGCACCGCTCTGGGCTGAGGCAATGCCATGCCAAGGGGGGGGGGCGAGGTCAACACGACCTCGAGGAAGTGCCATCTCCTCGAGGCAGCAGGCACCCCGAGAACACTTCAGAGCCTCCCAGAACGACCCCAAAGGTTCAACAGTGACCCCCCTATAGGGGTGACCCCCTTGACGCTGCCCGATGGGACTTTTCGGCGCCCCAGCTCCGTGTGGTAAAGGACCGCGTGGTGACCTCGGAACCCCTGACGACCTCACCGCGCGGTCCGTCACCGCATGGCTTTGGGACCCCAGAGAATGACCCTTGGCCCGAAAACCGTGCGGTGACCCCGGACCCACAATCGAGGCCTCCCAGGTGGGGTCTGAGCACACGGGGTCGGAGGATCGCCCCACATCGCCAATGCATCGGCGATGCATCGCCGATGCATCAGCGATGCATCGGCGACGTCGGCGCGGAGAGAAACGTGGGCCCCACGTCGAGCGGCATCGCCGATCCATCGCCGGTATCGGCGCGATCCTCCGACCCCATCTGCTCCGACCCTACCTATTGCCGGCGCGCACAGGCGGTAGGGGAAGGGAGGAAGGCTTCTTCGAAGAAGGCTGCTTCTTAGAAGGCGCCGGCCCGCGCCTTCTAAGAATGAACCAGGGGTGCTTCTGAGAAGCCACCACCACCCCCCCCTGCCCCCCCTCTGCGCGTGGCCGAATCTGCCCAGGAGGCTCCGAGACCCCGGAGCCCCGCTGACCCACCACACCGTGTGGGGGCCCTCCGGGTGTGGCCACCGAGCCGCCCGGGTGGCCCCCGAGCCTCCCGAGCCGCCCTGCCGCCCGCCCGCTGCTCGGGGGCCTCTCCCGGCGCGCGGCCCGCCCGGGCTCCGCGGGAGAGGGCGCCCGCCGAGCGGATATGCCGGCCACCCGCATGCGCTCGAACCAGGTCGCGGCCTCACAGCTGAAGAAGGCGGAGGAGGGGGAGGAGGAGGAGGAGGAGGAGGAGGAGGAGGAGGAGGAGGAGGAGGAGGAGGAGGAGGAGGAGGAGGAGGAGGAGGAGGAGGAGGAGGAGGAGGAGGGGAGGAGGAGGAGGGAGGGGGAGAGGAGGAGGAGGAGGAGGAGGAGGAGGAGGAGGAGGAGGAGGAGGAGGAGGAGGAGGAGGAGGAGGAGGAGGGAGGAGGAGGGGGAAGGGAGGGGAAGGGGAGGGGGAGAGGGAAGAGGAGGAGTAGGAGGAGAAGGAGCAGGAGGAGCAGGAGGAGGAGGAGGAGGAGGAGGAGGAGGAGGAGGAGGAGGAGGAGGAGGACGGGACGACGAGGAGGAGGAGGAGGACGAGGACGAGGAGGACGAGGAGGAGGAGCAGGAGGAGGAGGAGGAGGAGGAGGAGGAGGAGGGAGCTCGCTGGCTTTGCTTGTCGTTCAGTTCATCCCTGCCCTCTCACCTCCGGGGCGTCCACGAGGGGGGCGTCTAAGAGGGGGATTCGCAAATCATGGCCCGACGCATGTGCGCGGACGAGGAGGAACCAGGGGACGTAACTTGAAATCCGCCGACACTGTCGGGATGAGGAAGACGCTGTTCTGTCTGACTCGTCGTCGTCGTCGAAATCCGCGTCGTCGTCGTCGTTCTGCTTGAATCGTCGTCGTCACTGGGTCCTCCTCCTCCAGCGCGCCAGCTACGGCGAAACCGAACCGAAACCTCACGCGCGCCAGCCAAAGCAAAACCAAACCGAATTTGAGCGACATCGTAACTGACTCGAAGGGAAACCCCTTCCCTTTAATCCTCAAGGCTCCGAGATGCTGTGCGCGCGTTGTGGCCCGCTTGAAACGTCCTCGCAGCTGTGGGCTCCGAGATGCCGCGCGCGAGGTGGTGCAAAGCGTTTCGCCTGAGACATCCTCGCAGCTTTAGGCTCCGAGATGCCATGCGCTCGAGGTGGTCCGCCTGAGACATCATCGCCACCCCGGGCTCTGAGATGCAGCGCGCGAGGTGGTGCGGCGCGTTTCGCCTGAGACATCCTCGCACCTCTGGGCTCCGAGATGCCGCGCGAGAGGTGGTCTGGCCCGTTTCGCCCGAAACGTCCTCACAATTCTGGGCTCCGAGATGCCGTGCGAGAAGTGGTCCGGCCCGTTTCGCCTGAGACATCCTCGCAACTCTGGGCCCCGTGCGAAACATTTGATGTTGCTTCGTCTGTTGTCGAACTGTGCTCTGGGGGGGGGGGGGCTCCGCATGAGGCATCCTCGCAGCTCTGGGCTCCACGATGCCGCGCGCGAGGCGATCCAGCGCGTTTCGCCTGAGACATCCTTGCAACTCTGGGATCCAAGATGCCGCGCGCGGAGTGCGATGAGGGGGTGAATGATAGTGAGGAGAAGGAGGAGGAGGAGGAGGACGAGGAGCAGGAGGAAAAGGAGGAGGAGGAGGAGGAGGAGGACGAGGAGGAATCCGCCAGCCCCCGTGTGGGGCCACCAGGCTGTAGGACGAGGTTGCTGCTCCCTGCACCAGTTGCAGTTCCAAGTCTCCATTGTTACAGTCCTACTTTCTGCTTCCTACTGCATCTCGTTTGAATCCGAGGGAGGGAGAGAAGCCCCAAACCACCCGATTACAATTCCCGGATCGCGCTGCCTGAGACCCCGGGTGGGGCGTGGGACACTAGAATTAGCCCGGCGAAGGAACCCTCCATATGCAGTTGTGAATTCCGCAATTGTGGGCATCGTCTTCCATAGAGCTCCCAATGGGCCACGAAACGCTGTACTGGGCGGGGGGGAATGCATGCGAACTTTGCCACTGGGGCCTTCGGTGGAGCTCCCACTGGGGCCACGAAGCGCTGTACTGGGTGGGGAGGAAGCATGCGAACTGCGCCACTGGGATCTTCGGTGGAGCTCCCTCTGGGGCTACGAAATGCCATCTGGGCGGGGTCGGAGGAGCTCCCTGTGGAGCCACGAAACGCTGTGCTGGGTGGGAGAGACGCACGCGAACTGCGTCTCTGGGACCTTCGGTGGGGCCCAATCATGAGGCCACGAAACATTGCACTGGGGGCCACGGAACGCTGTACTGAGCGGGGGAGCACGCATGCGATCTGCGCCACTTCGGGGCCACGAAACGCATGCGGTCTGCGCCACTGTGACCTTCGTGGAGCTCCCTCTGGGCCACGAAACGCTCTTCTGGGCGGGCGGGACGCATGCGAGCTGCGCAACAGGGGCCTTCGGTGGAGCTCCCACTGGGGCTACGAAGCGCTGAAGTCGACGGGGGAGACGTATGCGAACTGCGCGACTGGGACCTTCGGTGGAGCTCCCTATGAAACCACGAAACGCTCCACTGGGCGGGGGAGACGCATGCGAGCTGCGCAACTGGGGCCTTCGGTGGAACTCCCTCTGGGGCCACGAAGCGCTGTACTGGGCGGGGGGACGCATGCGAACTGCGCCACTGTGACCGTCTGTGGAGCTCCCCGTGGGGCCATGACACGCTGTAATGGGCGGGGGAGACGCATGCGAGCTGCGCAACTGGGGCCTTCGGTGGAACTCCCTCTGGGGCCACGAAGCGCTGTAGTGGGCGGGGGGACGCATGCGAACTGCGGCACTGTGACCTTTTGTGGGGCTCCCCAGGGGGTCACGACACGCTGCATTGGGTTGGGGAGACGCATGCGAGCTGCGCAATTGATGCCTTCGGTGGAAACCCCTCTGGGGCCACGAAGCGCTGTACTGGGCGGGGGGACGCATGCGAACTGCGCCACTGTGACCGTCTGTGGAGCTCCCCGTGGGGCCATGACACGCTGTAATGGGCGGGGGAGACGCATGCGAGCTGCGCAATTGGGGCCTTCGGTGGAACTCCTCTGGGGTCACGAAGCGCTGTACTGGGAGGGGGGACGCATGGCGCCACTCTGGGGAGCTCCCCATGGGGCCATGCAAACTGCGCCACTCTGACCTTTTGTGGAGCTCCCCATGGGGCCACGACACGCTGAACTTGGCGGGGGAGACGCATGCGAGCTGCGCAACTGGGGCCTTCGGTGGAACTCCCTCTGGGATCACGAAGCGCTGTACTGGGCGGGGGGGACGCATGCAAACTGCGCCACTGTGACCTTCTGTGGAGCGCCCCGTGGGGCCACGACACGCTGAACTGGGCGGGGGAAGCGCATGCGAGCTGCGCAACTGGGGCCTTCGGTGGAACTCCCTCTGGGGTCACGAAGCGCTGTACTGGGCGGGGGGGACGCATGCAAACTGCGCCACTGTGACCTTCTGTGGAGCTCCCGGTGGGGCCACGACACGCTGAACTGGGCGGGGGAAGCGCATGCGAGCTGCGCAACTGGGGCCTTCGGTGGAACTCCCGCTGGGGTCACGAAACGCTGTACTGGGCGGGGGGGACGATTGCAAACTGCGCCACTGTGACCTTCTGTGGAGCTCCCCATGGGGCCACGACACGCTGTACTGGGCGCGGGAGGCGCGTGCGAACTGCGCCACTAGGACTGTCGGTGGAGCCCCTTGTGGGGCCGCCACGATACGCAGTTCTGTGTGGGGGAGGCGCATACGAACTGTGCCACTGGGACCTTCGGTGGAGCTCCCTCGGGGGCCACGAAACGCTGTGCCGGGTGGGGGGGACGCATGCGAACTGCGCCACTGAGACTTCGGTGGAACTCCCTCTGGGGCCACGAAACGCACTACTGTGTGGGGGAGACGCATCCAAACTGCGCCATGGGGACCTTGGAGCTCCCACTGAAGCCACGAAACGCTGTGCTGGGTGGGGGAGGCGCATACGAACTGCGCCACTGTGACCTTCGGTGGAGCTTCCTCTGGGGCAACGATGATGATGGCGATTGTGATGATGCTGATGATGAGGAGGATGTGGAGGAGGAGGATAATGATGATGGAAGGAGGGGGGAGGGGGAGGAGAGCAGAGGAGGAGGAGAGGAACGCGGGGCGCGTTCAACACCAAAGGATGGTTGGGAAATACTTGAGATTCGCGCCCTCGAAGCCACAACCCCTTGTACATGTCGCAATGGTTGTTTCCCCGGAGCCATTAACCCTGGCAAAGTACGCAATGGTTGCGTCCCCGAAACAACAAGCCCACGCACATTACACAATCTTCGCATTCCCGAAGCCACAAACCCTTGTAAATGACACAAGTCTTGCGTCCCCGAAGCAACACCCCCAAGTAAATCACGCAACCCTTGCGTCCCCGAAGCCATTCACCTTGGCAAATTACGCCGTGTTCGCATTGCCGAGGCCAAGAGTGTTCCAAGGCGCCCGAAGATGGTTTCAAAACGGCCCAAGAGGGCCCAAATACCTTAAAGAAGCTCCATGAGTGCTCCAAGAGGCCTCCCGAGAGAGCCTCAAGAGGCCCAAATCGCAAACTGTACGAAGGTTTTTGAAGGATGTTGGCCTTCTCGTATTTTCTGCTTTTCGACGCTCCAAGACGGCTCGAGAGGCTCCCAAGACCGCCCCACAACAGCCCAAAACGCCCCCAAGAGGGCCCCAAGACGGCCCAAGAGGACTCCGAGATGGCCCGAGAAGCGCTCAGAACTGCCCACGAGGGCCCCAAGGCAGCTCCAAGAGGGGCCCACGCAGGGGACCACGACTCGAACATTCGACATCCGTGCCCCGAGAGGCCCCCAGGAGGCCGCCAGGAGGCCCCAGGAGGCCCCAAGAGGCGCCCACGGCGCGCCCCAGAGGGGTCTCCAAGAGGCCCGACAGACACCCCACGAGGCCCCAAAGAGGCCCCCACGCCCAAGCCGCCTCCAAGGGGCCCCCAAGAGGCTCCCCACGACAACCCAACACATATACAAGAGGCCTCAGACCCACAGCCCAGGCACGGTGGCGGGATGGGCCGAAGGCCACTCGGATCCACCGCCCCCTGTTGGCTTGCCACAGGGGTGCCTGGCGTGCTAGATGATTTCGGTTTGGGTTTTCGTTCTTTTCCAAAAGAACTCCCCCTGGGACTCCGACGCGTCCCGCCGGGGTCCCGGGAAGGATCTCAAAACGCATCCGTCGATGACTTTGTTGCCCCAAGTTGGCCCAAGATGGCCCCAAAGACGGCCAAGATGGCCCAGGATGGCCTCCAAGTTCGCCCAAGATGGTCCAAGATGGCCTCCAAGACGGCCCAAGAGAGTCCAAGATGCATTCTAAATCGTCCAAAAGCCTCAAAACGGGCCAAGATGGCTCCAAGATGGCCTCAAGATGGCCCAAGAGGCCCCCCAGGAGAGCCCGAAGAGGCCCAAATCCTTGATTTTCCATTGGTTTTGAAATGATGTCGACATATGCTTCTTATAAGCCTTCCCGCTGTCCAAGACGGCCCAAGAGGCCCCCAAGATCGCCCCCAGAACACCCAAGAGGCATCCAAGATGGCCCCAGGACGGCCCAAAAGGCCTCCAAGACGGCCCAAAGACGGCCCAAGAGGCTTCCAAGCCGCCCAAGACGGCCTCAAAGACGGCCAAGATTGTCCCGAGAAAGCCGAATGTGGCTCCAAGATGTCTCCAAGGCAGCCCAAGATGCACCCAAGGCGGGCCAAGATAGCTTCAAGATGGCCCAAGAGGCCCCCAAGAGGCCTCCAAGACAGCCCAAGAGGCCTCCAAGAGGTCCTTCAGAAGGGCCCGAAAAGGCCAAAATCACGGGTTTCCCATTGGTTTTTAAATTGACAGATGCTTCTTCCGATGGCTCAAGACGGCCCAAGAGGCCCCCACGATCGCCCCAAGATCGCCCACGAGGCCTCCAAGATGACCCCATGACAGCCGAAGAGGCCCCCAAAACGGCCCCAAGAGGTCCCAAGACGGCCCAAGAGGCCTCCAAGACGCCCAAGATGGCCTCCTAGACGGCTACGATGGCCCCAAGATGCCTCCATCACGGCCCAGGATGCACCCAAGACGGCCTGAGATGGCCTCCAGATGGCCTAAGACGGCCCAAGAGGCCCCCAAGAGGCCTCCAAGACGGCCAAAGAACCCTCCAAGAGGCCCTCCAGAAGGGTCCGAAGAGGGAATTTCCATACGTGTTTGAAGGATTTGGGCATGTGCTTCTTCTCGGCATTCCGACGGCTCAAGATGACCCAAGAGGCCGTCAAGATCGCCCCAAGATCGCCCACGAGGCCTCCAAGAGAACCTCATGACGGTCCAATAGGCCTCCAAGACGGCCACAAGAGAGCCCCAAGACGGCCCAAGAGACCTCCAAGACGCCCAAGATGGCCTCCAAGACGGCCCCGAAGCGCCCCAAGAGGAACCCAAGTCGGTTCAGAGAGGCCCCCAAGACGGCTCCCGACGGCGTCAGACGGGCCAGGAACCCACCAAGATGGCCGAAGTTGGCTCGAAGCTGGCCCAAGACGGCTCAAGAAGCCTCCAAGAGGGCCCCCAGGAAGGCCAGAAAAGATCAAAACACTGGTTGTCCTGAGGTGTTTGAAGGATTTTGACATTTGCTTCGTTTCGGCCTTCCGACGGCCCGAGACGGCCCAAGAGACCCCAAAAATCGCCCAAGGATCGCTCAAGAGGCCTCCAAGATGGCCCCAGACCGGCCCAAGAGGCCCCCAAGACGGCCCCAAGGGGCCCCCAAGACGGCCCAGGAGGCCTTTAAGACGCCCAAGGTGGCCTCCAAGACGGCCCTGGAGCATTCCAAGAGGACCCGAAGTCGGCCAAGAGCGGCCCCCCACACGGCGTCTGACGGCGTAAGACGGGCCAGGAACCCACTAAGACGGCCGAAGATGGCCCACGAGGCCTCCAAGAGGACCTCCAGGAAGGCCCGAAAAGGCCAAAATCATTGATTTCCCATGAGTTGTTGAAGGATTGTGGCATTTGCTTTTTTTCGGCCTTCCGACGGCCCGAGACGGCCCAAGTGCCCCCAAAGATCGCCCAAGAAGCCCAGGACGGCCCCAAGGGGCCCCGAAGACGGCCCAAGAGGCCTCCAAGACGCTCAAGATGGCCTCCAAGACGGCCCAAGAGCCCTTCAAGACGTCCCCCAAGAAGGCCCGAAAGGGTCAAAATGGCCTCCCGACGGCCAAGATGACCTTCAAGATGCCCACGTGCTCCCTGAAGGCTTTCCCAACCGATTCGGGGAACACGTGGTCCGATATCTTGGCAGGTCTGACCTCAACGATCGGCCACATAGGCGCTTCCGAAAAGGCAGGAGGCGGCAGTGATTCGCCTTAGGCGTCTTCGATAACGCTAACCTCTCAATATGCGCTGATGGTTCCTATCCGCCCCGCATGATGATCTGACGAGGAGTGAGATGAGTCGGGGCAGGAGGAAGAAGACGAAAAGCAGGACAAGCAAGAGGGGAATGACGAGGAGCGGGCGGAGCGGGAGTAAGAGAGAGCAGGAATGGGAAAAGGGTAAGCTGTAGTGGAAGGGGGGAGGGCGGGGGCGAGAATGATAATGAGGCGGATGCGGAGATATGCGGAAAGTGAAGAGGACGACGACGATGAAGTAGAGTAATAAAGCTCGACGACGACGCCGAAGGCGCAGGCCGATCAAGAGCAGGAAGACGCGCGAACACTCGTAGAAACCACCTTGGTTTCAAAATCGCTGTTTGCAGATGCTGGACTCTGACTGTACTCGTTCATCTACCTCGTCTGACCCCATCGGGCTCCTGCTCCTGCTCCTGCGGTCAATGCGCCGCTGCCTTCCGTGCGCGTGCCGAACCCTGCTGTCCAAGCCGTCTCCCCACAAGCCTTCTCGGCCTGGCCCCTCACAGAACACGCGGATATGATGTTCAGGTAGGTGTTCGCATTCGGCGTCAGCCTCCATTCCCTGGAGGCAGAAGGACATTTCACAGATGCGAGGGGAAGGGATCAAGCGGGACCCAAGGCTTGGCGAAGAAAAGAAGGCTAAATGGTGATCGCAAGGACGGTGATGACGATGGAGGCAAAGGAGGGAGGATGAGGCGGGAGGGGGAGGCGGGAGCGGGGGGAACGTGCGGGGAGGGCAGGGGAAGAGGAATGGGCAGCGGGGAAAAGGAGCCGGAGAGGCGAAGCAGAGAGCGGACGGGCGATGGGTGAGAAACGGCGGCGGAGTGATCGAGATGAGGTCGAAAAAGGTGGAGGAGGAAGTGACGACGATGAGCAGAGGGAAGGCAGGGACGCTGATAGTCAAAAGCTGAAAAAGAAACGAGCAGAGAAGGAAAGAACATGAGAGGAACATGATCGACCCACGAACCCGGAAAGGGATATGAGAATGTAAGGCATGGCAACGCGTTCGAAACATGTTCAAAACACCTGATTGGGCGACGGGCAATTGCAACGCTTAATGTATCGATCTTGGTGTACCGTGCCCATGGCTGTGCTGCGCTGTGCCGTGCTGAACTGCGATGCGCCATGCTGCGATTGTGCTCTGTAGCGTTGTGGATCGAGTCCTACTTGGCATTCGAGTCCTGACCGAACTGATCTGGATCTTAAGCTCGAGCTGCCTGAGCACAGAGTAGCCGCCCCAGAGCTAGTTGAAGTGGAAACGTAGAGGACGTTCAATCAACTCGACCTGAAAATCCGACTCAGCTCCGAAAAGAAACGGCACGACACAGGGCACAGGCTCACGGACGCGCCACAGGATGTGCCAGGGGAGCAATAGGGGATGCGTCAGGTGACGTGTCAGGGGACGCATCAGGGGACGTGCCCTGGACGTGTCAAGGACCTGCAACGGGACGGCCAGAGAATGTCATATCAAAGGACGGTGCAAGGGGCCCGCCATGGAACGGGCAAGGGAAACGCCTGGGGACGAGCAAGGAAACGCGACAGAGGACGAGCCAGGGAACGTGCCACGCCGAGTGGCGTGCGAGGGGACGTACCAGGGCACGTCACGCCTGAACGTCGCAAGGGACGCGCCAGGGGGCGCGCCAGGGCGCCAGGGGACGCCCCATGGACGGGCGGGGTTAGACTGCGACGCAATTCTACTGCGACAAGCGTTTCGCTCGAGATATCCTCACCACATCCTCATGTTAGACATCCGTCTGGGCGACCTGGACGCGTGAAACCAAGCGTCTCGCTCGACGTTCTCAACATCTCCTCATGCTAGACATCCGCCTGGGCGACCTGGACACGCGAAAACGAGAGGTTCGCTTGAGACATCCTCCGACCATCTTCCTGTTAGACATCCGCATGGGCGACCAAGGCACCTGAAAACAAGCGTTTAGCTCAACACATCCTCAAGAATCCTCATGCTGAAGATCCGCCTTGGCGACCTGGAAGCGTGAAAGCAAGCGTCTCGCTCGAGGCATCCTCGACGCATCTTCCTGTTAGACAACCGCCTGGGCGGCCTGGACGCGTGAAAAACAAGCGTTTCGCTCGAGACGTTCTCAACACATCATCATGCTAGACATCCACCTGGGCGACATGGGTACGTGAAAACAGCGTCTCTCCCGAGACATCCTCCACAATCCTCATGTTAGACATCCGCCTGGGCGACCTGGACGCGTGAAAACAAGCGTCTCTCTCGAGAGAGAGACATCCTCAACAAATCCTCATGCTACACACCTGCCTGGACGGCCTGGAGGCGTGAGAACAAGCGTCTCGTTCGAGACATCCTCGACAAACCCTCATGCTAGACATCTGCATGGGCAACCTGCAGGCGTGAAACCAAGCGTCTCGCTCGAGACATCCTCAAGACATGGGCACGAGAAAGCAAGCATCTCATCTGAGACATCTTCTGAATTCTGGTGCCCAGGAGAGGGAAAATCTATAGCACAAAACAAACGTTTCTCCGGCACGGGGACTCCCCCCCTCCCCCTCCCCCTCCCCCTCCTCCTCCTCCTCCTCCTCCTCCTTTTCGTCCTCTTCCTCCTCCTCCTCCTCCTCGTCCTCGTCCTCGTCCTCGTCCTCGTCGTCGTCGTCCTCCTCCTCCTCCTCCTCCTCCTCTTCCCCCTCCTCCGCAATTACTCAATATGAATACTACTCTCCCTCTTCCCCTGATGACGGCCTGGGAGTGTCCGACCCCCCCCCCCGCGTATTGTTTTTTACACACAGGTTTCCCCGGAGTTGGGTTTTCGCCTGCATTTGTTTTCAAAATGCTGCTCTCGCTGAGGCGCCGGCCTCATTTTCGGGCCCCGCTCGTTCCGAATCGTGCTCCCGCTGCAGCGCTGGCCTCATTTCCGTGCTTCCGCTCGTTCCGAATCGTGCTCCCGCTGCAGCGCTGGCCTCATTTCCGCGCTTCCGCTCGTTTCGACTCGTGCTCCCGCTGCAGCGCTGGCGTCATTTCCCGTGCCATGCCACGGCATGCAATGCAATGTAGGTTGATACTACGCTTTGCGGTGCTCTTCTACGCCATGCCATGCCGTGCTCTACAATGCATCGCGTACCCTTTCGGGATCATTGCCCTGCTCGACATCCGACTGTGCGAGTAGAGAGGGGATCTGCGCCATGGTAAGGGATGGGAGGGAGGGGTAGGATGTCAGATATGACGCGAGCGCACCTAGCTTGTCCCCCTCCCCCTCCGCCTCCTCCTCCTCCTCCTCCTCCTCCTCCTCCTCCTCCTCCCCCTCCTCCTCCTCCTCCTCCTCCTCCTCCTCCTCCCCCGTAGCCATTTTGGCTCAAGCCATTTTGGCTCAAGCCAGTTTGGCTCAAGCTATTTTGGCTCAAATTGCCACCGCTCAAGCCAGCTGGGCAGGAGCAGCCCTGCCCCCTTTTGCGCCTACACCCACACGCCGCAGTTGCCGCCATGTCGTCCAGGACGCCCTGGGTTTTCAAAGAAGGAGTAGGATCTCCAGTCGTTTCTCATACTAAATTGCTTTGCCCGCGTGGCAGACCAGCCTGTTGGATCTGGCCTAATAGAACTGCTTCTCAACCGTTATGTAAGTGCGGTCTCCCCTGGCATGGGAAGAGCTCCCAGCCACTCCCGCCACCTCCGCCACCACCAGTAGCAGCGAAGTCTGGGCGCACAGAAAAGCCCACTGCTGAGGTAGCATCTGGCAGTGAGAAGATTCAGTCCAAATATAAGCCCACTGTTCAGGTAGAAGCCGACAGTGAGAAGGCGCATGCATCACCGCCGCCTCTTGTGGCAGTGAAGTCTAATCCCAAGGTCAAGGCCACTGGTCAGGTAGAATCCGACAGTGAACAGGGCCAGGATTTCAAAGTCAGGCATCAGTTCAAGCTACTGATCTCGGATGTCTTCCAGCATCACGAACCTCAAATGCTGGATCAGTTGGACAGTTTCTTAGACAAGTGCAGGGGGGAAAGAAAAGTATCTTTATTTGGCGGTATGCGAGAAATTCAACGTCGAGCCTAAGGTGAAGGTTCAGATCTCTAAGAAGGAAGACAAACTTCCAGATGTTTTGGACAGTGGTAGCGATTCCGATTCACCTTCTGCCAGTATAAAACATGCCGACCGTCCTCGATCGACTTCTCCAGAGCACGCTTGTAAGCGTGCACAGGTTGTGCACAGCGATGCAGCCCCTTCCATGGAATCAGCCCCGTCCAATTCAAGACTTCTGGAGTTCAAGTGTGGTCTCCAGGCTATCAAGATCAAGCACCTCCAGCAGCAACTGGAGACACTCCAGGATGAGCTCAGTCGTGTAAATAATCAAAACACAGCTTCAGGCAATGCGCCTGTTCCTCGGACGAGCAGATCCAGCTCAGACTCCTCTTCTTCTAAGTAAACGGAGCTCAATGTCGTGGTAGTACCCAAGTCTTTCAGTTCAGCGGCAGAATGTATATTGCATCATGGGCAAAGTAGGCAACTTGTGTTATGGCTTAGATGAGCGAAGTTTCTATGGCTACAGGTTTTTGGCAGAATCCTCCTTTTGTGTTGGTCAGCGCTGCGTTTGGGTAGGACATTCGTCAGCTACCCAGCGTTCTTAACCTTCACACGTCCCGTATCCTTTTGGCCAGAATGGCAGTACTGTTGAAGCAGGTTGCTTACTTGCATCAGTTTTCCTTGTCATGCGCTAGTTAGGGCAGCTGCATTTCAGCCCAGTTTATTCTTACTCTTATCAGGGGTCCAGGAAAGTCTGGCGAAGTAATCCCCTAGTCTTTCTTTTCTCCATCCCTTATGGGGGATGGTAAGGTCTCGCTTTGCTAGGGGTCTGCCCATTAGTATGTGGGAAGTAAGTTACCCCAGCGCATTGCAGTTGATCTCCTTCCCCTTCCCTTGCTCCTTCATGCATCCCCCCTCCCTCCTTCCTCCCTCCAGACAGTTCAAGGAGTTGGCAGCCAGGTCGCAGGCGAAAGCAAGTGGCCTTCCCTGGCGGGTCTTGCCATGGTCTCACCATGCCCGAAAGTCCGAACCTGCAAGTTGGCGTTCAGGGATTGTTCGTGTCTGGGGAGGGGGGAATTGGTGGGTGGGATTGGATTCTCCGCCCCGTTCTGGGGAAGGTCTGCGTCGATCCGTCTGGCCTGGGCACGGCCCTTTAGAAGGTGGGCAGCGTTTAACCCGGGCTAGTTTGTTTCATGCGTTTTCCTTCTCCTCCCCTCCTCCTCCTGGGGTAAAGTTCGTTGGAGCCGAATCGGAACTGGCAACGCCCCAGGCAATGCCTGGGGGTCAACTGCTGTCCAAGGAACGCGCCTGTGCTTTAGATCATCCCCGAAGCGAATGCCAAAACAAATGTCCTCCTCCTCCTCCTCCTCCTCAGGAGAGAAGAAGGATACAGGGGGGGAGAAGGATGATGATGTATGCATGCGCAGGGCGCAGAAGGGCGTACGCATCCCCTGCGGAGGCGCAAGACCGGGCCTATCATAAGATTGCACACGATATAGCACACGATAACAAAAACAACTGGTAACATCTCGCTTGGTTGCCCGGGAGGAATGGCCAGAAGGCGCCCGCCACCGGGCATAGACTGTAATCTTTCTGAGCGCTCTCGTCGCCCCTGGAGGGCCGACGCACACAACAGTATAAGTAGGCCTGGGTGATGCCAATGCCACGGCTGGTCAAAGGCAAGAAGCCATACCATGAATGCTGGCGTTCGTTTCCTTGTTTGTGTGACGCGGGAACGGAGGAGGATGACGCAGCCCCTTCACGCGCCAGGTATCCGATGAAAAGAGCTCGTATGTGGGGCTGTCTCTTCGAGATGCCCTGGCACGAGCTTTGGAACATGAGACGATGCAGTCGGGCCATATCTGCGCGTGCCCCTACCAGAGTCAAACGTGAAAACCATCAGATCGTGCACCAAAGTTGCCGAAGACACATCAGGGGAAGCGAGAGCGTGCTACCTGCTGTTTTTCGGCACTGCTCGCGGAGTCGGATGATGCTGATGAGGATGATGATGATGATGATGATGATGATGATGATGATGATGGCAATTATGATGATGATGCTGATGATGATGATCATGATGATGATAATGATGATTATGTTGATGATGATGATGATGACGATGATGATGATGGCGACGACGATGACGATGATGATGAT